AGGAAAAGCAACAAAAGCAAAAGCACAGAGATAGAAATGATTATACTAGGTAGAAGACAGTGATGTTATTGGCCTGGCTGGAATGGAAAGTAAGTTTTGGAGAGGATAGGGAAAAGAGAATTAGCAAGTGAGGAATCTGGACTTAATATCATAGGTATTGAAGGTATTCTAAATCTTTGAACAGGATATAAGATGTTAAATTAGTTTTCCATCAGCATGCTGTAAATAATTAGAAGTCAGAAATCTTAAGAGTGAGAGACACCAACCTTTCACTTGACAGGGTTAGAATCCAGCCCCACAGCCAAAGAGGATTCTAACATTTCCAGAGAAATAATATAGATCTTTGTGATGCCATTATTCAGGAAAAGATGCTATTAAAGTAGTTTATTTTTGTCTTTTATTTTTCATTTTTGGAATAAAACAAGCATTTCTATAACATAGCACAATAAAAAAGATGATTGTACACAGAACTACAAATCTTCTATGCTAAAATAGTTTAGCTATGGTATGATGATGATTATGACTAGGATGGGGTAGCAAGGGAATGGAAAAATTATTAACATTGGAAAGAGGAAGGGTTAAATGTATGGTAGTACTTGTGGAGTTATGACAACATATTTATAAGAAATAGATTAAGACCATTTAAAGTTAGCAAAAAGCTTTGAAACTTGGACATCTTTCACTCCCAAGCTAGGCTAGTTTGAAACAGGGTAATCTGTTGTCTATTAGTGTCTATTTACTTGCAGATACAGTCTGAGACTCATTAACTGATAGCTTTCTTATCATTATTCTGATATCTCATGTTAAACAATGTACAATAGATAAGGGGGAAATCAGGCCACAGTTAAGCAATTTGTCCAATAGGTGAATAATTATGATTTCCTTATAGTTCCTTGATTCTCAAGAATTACTCTTTATGCTATTCGTAACATTAAATAAACACTTACATACTTGAAATGTCACTTTCTATGAGCATTTGTTTTGTAGAGAAAATAATTCATTCTGATTCACAGACGCTGATTAAAAATTGTTTAGTTCGGTCCAAAAACTCAAATCATTTTGAAACACTATTCAACCCAGTAGTACTAACTAATATTTGTAAAAGAAATTTAAATGTTTAGTTAATGATATGAAACTTTTAGCAATGAGTTTGTTTAGTTAACTTTTCCTTTCCTGGGGGGGGTGGAGCACACAATTATTTTAATGTTAGTCAAATTAATTATAAACAAAAATTATAGAACTATTTCCTTAATAATATCAATCTCATCACACTTCAAGCTTTGGACATTTAGCCCTAGAAAATATTTTTCTAACTTCATTTTGAAAGAGTCAAAAGCATAGCCTACTGTAAAGAAAGACATGGTTGACATGTCTATATTCTAGTGCCTCTAGTTTTAGTATTTCTGCCCTAAACTTTCTTTAGCACTTATAAAGAAAGATAAAAATGCATATTACCAGTTTTCTTCATTATAAGACTTCTATATGTAGTAACACATATCCTATATCCCTGTGTTGAAATGATTCATCTCTGGTCAGTCTGGCTTGCAAGCAAACTAATGAGATGACTGCTCTAATTTTATGATGAGACTATTTATTTACTGTATATGCCTTCACTTAAAAGGGTATAGGATAGGTTTCATAAAGTATAACATGTTTATGAGGATCTTTACTAATTCCAGCTACTTTAGAATGAAAAAGGTCCTAGGTGGCTCAGTGGATAGAATTCTGACCCTGGAGCTAGCAAGACCTGAGTTCAAATCTAGCCTCAGACACGTACTTTCTATGTGACCCTGGGCAAGTCACTTAACCTCTGCTTGCCACCTGTGAAATGGGGATAATAACACCTGCTTCCCAGGGTTGTTGCAAGGATCAAATGAGAAAATATTTGTAAAGCACTTAGCACAGTGCTTGACATGTAGCAAGCACTTAATAAATGCTTCCTTCCTTCCTTTTCCTTCCCTTCTCTTCTTTCTTAAATGAATCAAGGAAGGTTACTTTTTAGAAGAAACCTATGATGAATCCTTTTGTAAAAGTAAGAGTCCTTTAAAAAATAAACTTAATACCCCAGAATTAGCATTTCCATATAGGAAGTTGAACAAAAAGTAGTTGAACAAAAAAAAACAAGTGAAATTGTGAACCCTTATTGTACATAACTTCCTTTTTTAAAAAAAAGCATGTAATAAATATAACATGCTACTTTTAAAACTGTCCTGCTTATCTGTTTACTTTTATATTTCCTTCTGCTCTTTTTGCATTTAAAAAGATGTTTCAATTATCCTCTTTTCTTCCCCCCCCCGGTCCCCCCCACATTATTGTTTAGCTTCTTATTGTTTCCTCTCCTCTAATGTTAACTGTATTGACTTTGTTCCTGCAAAAAAATTAAATTTTATAGTCTTCATTCAACACATAATAGATTCTGCTCCATCTCTTTATTTAATTCTGTGTCAATCTTTGTGTTTCTTGTAAACAACATATTGGATTCTGCTTTCTGATTCATTCTATTACTCTCCTCTATTTTATGGGTAAGTACATCCCATTTATATTTGGAGGTGTAATTGATAATTTTGTATTTCCTTCTATCCTGTGCTCTCATGTTTCCCCCTGTTTCCCCCATCTATCCCCTTTTTACAAAGAAGAAGATGGTTGTGAGAGGGGAATGTGGTTATATACTGGTCTATTGTGCCTCTTCTCTTCCCTTTGCCCAGCCCTTATCACCACCTCAGGATTTATTTAATAGTTGTGCAAGCTTCTTGAGTCAGAATTTGTTTTGCTTATGACTAATTTTCCACTGAACTTGGCCTTCCTCTTAATCCCCATATCTCCTATCCCTTTTCTAGACTAACTCTTCAATGAATTTAATGATTTTTAACCCCAAACTCTTTGAATGGTTATATGCATAAGTGTGTGTGTGTGTGTGTGTGTGTGTGTGTGTGTGTGTGTGTGTAAGTTTGGCACTCATGCTTAACCCTCCTTTGTCCAGGTCAGATGAAATTGAGGTTCATGTAATACACTTTTCTCATCCCTTTATCTGTGTTTGCATAGTGTTATTCTCAAACACTTTGATTATGTGAGTTACTAAATTTAACCCCTTCCTCGCTCTCCTTTAATTTTCTTTCTTCTCTTAAGAGCATCAAAATAAAACAAAACTTCTCCCAGTCCCTCTGACTTATTTACTCCCTATGACTCTTGAAAAGATTTGGATTCTGAGAAGATGCTTTTTTTTCTTCCCCACCTATTAGAATATAAACTTCCTCATCCTGTAAGTATAGTCCCTTTCAATTGCTCAAATGTATTACTCAATCTTTCTATGTTTTTCATGAAATCTGTGTTTGCATTTTAAGGTACCTATTCAACTCTGGTCCCTATCAGGAATACTTTAATATCTTTTATTTCATTAAAGGTTGATTTTTTTATCCTGTAATATTGTACTCAGTTCTGCTGGGTAAATTATTCTTATTTATATGTCTTTATCTTTTGCCTGCTAGAATAACATTCCAAGCTTTCCTCTTTTTAAGTGTTAGTTGCTATGTCTTTCATGATCCTAACTTTGTCTCCTTGGCACTTGATCTTTTTTCTTTCTGGTAACTTTTTAAAATTTTCTGTTTGATCTAGAAGATCTGAATTTTGACTTTTAGGAACTGACTGGTGGTTTTTTTCAAGTTCCTTTCTAGTGTTCCAGTGTGAAGGCTTCCATGAGCTATACTTAAAGGCAGGGGGGTTTATAATCTTTTCCCTACTGCCTGTTGACTTCTGCCTGTCTCTTTTTGGGTGAAATGGTCTGGGAAAATGCATTTACTATAATTTCTTCTTGGATCTTGGAAGACCTTTACTCATCTTAGAACTCTTTTTTGATCCTCGCTGAGGTAGTTGTGAGAGGACTATAGGCTATTCTATTCCCATTCATACTTCCAACTTGAGAGCTTCAAGAATATTTTTGGAAAGTGAGTAATCATTGGCTACTTTACACATTTATAATGTTTTAGAGAGGCAACAAGTTATATTGAATAGAAAACTGTTCTTGAAGCTAGAAAGTCCTACATTCAATTACCACCTCTGAAATAGTGGATGTGTGACCCTGGCCAAGTCACTTAACCTCTGAGTGCTCTAAGCAACAATCTAAGGCTATAAGTTGAAGACAAGGTGCTGACCTGTACAGGTAAAGGGAGTTGTCTTATCTGAGAATTCCCTATTCCAGTGAAATCACAGATCTAGTCCCTATCCCTATAATGTTTTTATGTTGCATTTTCTAATAAGGAGGAAATGGCAACCTAAGTGAAGAATTCTATATAGCTTTCAACTGCTTGATTCTTTTTACATACTTAAAGAAATAAGGATAGCTCTATTCTATGTTGAATATTTTTTAAAAATTCATAAAAGCAGTTTTGTTTAGAGCAAAATTTATTGTGGATTGTGAAATAAGGACTGCCATTGTTATGGACTGCCTAGTCCAAGTCAGTGGGAATTATGTCAATGTGCTCAGAATTCTTCTTAGATTTGAAATTAGATTTGCAACAAGAAGTACTGCCCCTCAGGCTATTATTTTTGTTCTAAAACATATAGTCAATAACTTTGATAGACTAAGCTCTTCTCAGCAATGCAAGGATCTAAGACATCTCCAAAAGTCTCATAATGGAAAATGCTATCCACATCCAGAGAAGGTACTGTGGAGTCTGGATGCAAATCAAAGCATAGTATTTGCTTTTTTTCCCCTTCTGTTTTGTTTTGTTTCTTCTTTCTTGTGGCTCTTCCTATTGGTTCTAATTCTTCTTTACAACATGACTAATGTGAAAATATGTTTAGTAAGAATGCTTATGTAGAGCCTACATCAGATTGCATGACATCTTGGGAAAGCAGGTGTGGAGGGAGGGGGAGAAAATTTAATCCTAAATAGCTTATGGAAGTGAATGTTGAAAACTAAAAATATGTTAATTTTTAAAATGCCAAAAAAGTATATAGTCAAGTTTTTAATCATGTCCTTTCCTTTTCCTCTACCCAAACAGAAAGTATTTATATTTTCTGGAACATTTAGAAAAAACCTGGATCCTTATGGACAGTGGAGTGATCATGAATTATGGAAAGTTGCAGATGAGGTAAGAGTGTCTACCAAAGATGTGTACATGGCAACTGAAGCAGTTGTTCCCTATAATGAAAGAGATAATCCAGCCCAAGACGTTAAAAATGGTTGTCACTTTTAAAATAATATTGGAAATGCCCAGCCTCTTGTTTCATTCATGAACATACTTACGATATGTTCGTGACAAGGCCTCACACTTAGTTGGTGTTTAATAAATATTTGTTGAGATGAACTGATTTCATGACAGATCTTACTCTCAAAATACAAAAGTTATTGTAGATGAGGTTGCATCAAGTGAATGTATAATAGAAGAGGCAAAATTCAGGATTTCGTGTCAGGAGGACCTGAGTTCTAATGCTGATTCTGCCACTAGCTATGTGACTTTAGCCAAATCACTTAACCTCTCTGGGCCTCATTTCTCATCTCTGTAATGAAGGGATTAGATTACATGGTCCCTAAGATCCACCCACCTCTAAATCTATGATATTTTGAATCCACCCTGATCAAAGACACTTAAATAAATGTTCTAGACAAACACTAATATCATCCTAAGTTTCATGCTTAGATAGACTTAGCCAGATTCAGATATTCCTTCTGATCCCAAGCTGTCCCTTATAAAAGAGGTTTTTCCTCTACAACTCTTATTTCCACCTTTTCTACCTGGAGACTATGTCAGTTCTGAAGATGTCCTGAAATAGGCAAGGGGATCCAATTTGGCAAGAGATGATTGGCTCCAAAATGACAGTTATGACCTAGGACAAAGCTGGCCACCCTGAGGGATGGCATAAATACATCTCTGGGACTCCCCTGTGATAGAATAGTTAGAATTCCCCCTTCTCATGTGAGGTGGCTGCTACACAAGCCATTAGGATATATACGTGTGCTGTTGCTTTGGGCAGCATCCCAGAGAAAGATAATGTAATTCATTGTAATTTACCAAATATTCAGAGTAAATGTGAGATTCATGATAATAACATACTGGTATCATAGATCTAAAGTCATAAGATTTTAAAATGTTTATCTAATTTAACTGCCTTTTTAAAAACCAAACTTTTCTTGTCCTTTTTTTTTTTAACATACTCTAGTCCTTCTCCAAATATTGTTATATCCCAAATCATCCATTTTTTTTCTCACCTCTCTTCAACATGCCCATGTTAGGTACTGTCAGGAACTTTGAACTATTACTGAGTGTTAAACACTTATTTGTTGAGTGTCCAACCTTAACATAGACCTAATAAAATACTACTTAGATTAACCATTTTCATTATTCAAGTTTCCCTATTACCCAACAAAAATTCTTTTCATGAAAGTTTTAGAGAAAACATTAATTAAATTTGCAAACAATACACTTAGAGATCTTTGATCTACAATTTAGAGGAGGTAAGGTTTAAGGATGCCATTTTTAGGTTTTCTGAGAAACACAATGTTGGGGAAGGAGTGAAATTAGAGTAGGAACAGTATCTGAACCTCATGACAGTTTGATATCTTGCCAGTTCACACAGGAGAGGATAGAATCAGAATCATAAAAATATTGCAAATTAAACCAAAAGAAATCCTAATGAGTCTCACACATACTTTTAAAAAGTCAAAAGGCTTACAAATGCTCCCCACCCTCACTCCACATTTTAATTTGCAACACTACTTTTAAGTATAGTAAAGATAGAATTGTGGTAGATATTTGTTCATGATGTATGTGTCTCATGATTATTTACATTGTCATATAGGATGCTGAACCTTGGAGTCAGAAAGACCTGGGTTCAAATCCACCTAAGATTCTAATTAGTTGTATGACTCATGGCAAATAACTGCTCTGAGGCTCAGTTTCCTCATCTGTAAAATGGAATTAATAATAGTAACTACTATACAGCAGAGTTGTGGGGATCATATGAGACAATGTGTAGCAGAAACCTTAAAGTGCTCTATAAATATCAATTATTATTATTGTTACATCTCCCATATGATATTCATGACTCCAATGTCCTTTCCGGCTCTAGAACCTGTTACCTTATAAGTATAATTTGGATGAACACTTGTAAAGGATGCTACGGATGTAATTCATCTTTTGGGTATGGTTGGGCTAATTGACTAGGTAGCTAGGTGGCACAATGGATAGAGCACTGGACCTGGAATCAGGAAGACCTAAGTTCCAACCCAGCTTTAGACACTTGCTAGCTGTGTGACCCTGGGCAAGTCACTTAACCTCTGTTTGCCTCCATTCCTAATCTGTAAAATGGAAAGGATGTTAGAATCGTGAATATCAATTTAACAATCACCTGGGGAGTCTTTCATTACCTTTGGGTTGTAGTTCCTCTGAGTCTGTCGATTCACACTAAAGGTAGCTTGAAACTCATTTATCATCTGTTTACTTATATTTCCAGAAAATATTTTTGCTTGACTTTATTTAATCTGAATATTATTCTATTTGGTAGAGAATACAGAGGCAAAATAGGAGAAAGATTAGCCTTTCTCAGTCATCCACTATTTTTCCCAATTTTTAAAAACATTTTTATTTGAAGTTTTGAGTTCTGAATTCTATCCCTCCTTCCTTCCCTTCCTCCTCCCCTCCCTGAGCTGGTAAGCAATCAGATATAGGTTATACCTATGGAATTATGTAGAATATTTCCATATTAACCATTTTGTACAAGAAGACTCTAATAAAAAAAAAGTGAAAGAAAAGGAAAAAGAGCATGCTTCAGACTGTATTCAATCAAAATCAGTTCTTTTTCTGGAGGTGGATATTATGCTTCATCATTAGTCCTTTGGGATTGTCTTAGACATTGTACTTCTGAGAATAGCTAAGCCATTCAATATTCTTCATCAAACAACATTGCTGTTACTATGTACAACATTCTCCTGGTTCTTTTTACTTCACTATACATCAGTTCATGCAAGTCTTGCCATGTTTTTTTCTGAAATCATCCTGCTTGTCATTTCTTATAGCACAATAATATTCCATTACAATCATATGTCACAGTTTGTTTAGCTGTTCTCCAGTTGATGGGCATCCCTTGGATATCCAATTCTTAGCTACTGCAAAGAGAGCTGTTATAAATATTTTTGTACAAATAGATCCTTTTCCCTTTATTTTGGATGTCTTTGGGGTATAGACCTAGCAGTGGTATTGCTGGATCAAAGGGTATGAATAATTTTGTAGCCCTTTGGGCATAGTTCCAATTTGTTCTCCAGAATGGTTGGATCAGTTCACAACACTAACAATAGTGCATTAGTGTCCCAGTTTTCCCAAATCCCCTCCAACATCCAACATTTTCCTTTTTTGTAATATTACCCTCTTTGATAGATGTGAGGTGGTACCTCAGAGTTGTTTTAATTTGCATTTCTCTGATCAATTGTGATTTAGAGCATTTTTTCATGTGTCAGTAATCTACTATTAATGTCCCATTTACCACAAGCAGTAGCCTGATGCTTTATTTCTCATCAGACTTCAAACACAGATAAAACAAACTTCCTTGTCACATGACTCCTGTTGTTTGGACTTTAGTGTTCCTGATACTATTCTTATAGGACCTTATAATTCTTTTATATATCAAGACATTCTCTTACTTCAAAGTACAAAACAAATTTCTTTTTTAAAAAGCTCTAAAATTCTTAACTGATTCAGGCTGAGAGTTTGTAAACTGTAGTTAAACTGGATGCTTCTGAGAACCTCAATTGCTCCATTCTACCTGTTCAAACTCATGTGTGTTTACCCATATGGCATTTTGAGGATGTGTGTGAATGTTCACTAAGCAAGATGTTTTTCCTCTAATCTTTTTCCTGTAGGTGGGACTAAAGTCTGTGATAGAGCAGTTTCCTGGCAAGCTGGATTTTGTCCTTGTTGATGCCGGTTGTGTTCTAAGCCATGGCCACAAACAGCTGATATGTTTGGCTCGGTCTGTTCTTAGTAAGGCAAAAATTTTGCTGCTGGATGAACCAAGTGCTCATCTGGATCCTATGTAAGTTTTGACAAAACAGAGAGCAGAATCATTCAGATCTATTTATCATTGACCCACATTTTCATGATGCCATTTCCTTTGTAACCTATAGTCACTCACCTAGATACAATAAGATTTCATAGTGAAAATGCTACGATACTAAGTGTCCAGTGGTGCAGGTTTATTTATCTGAATGTGAGTCTCACTCCTAGCTCTTGCAGACCACTTCAAATTGCTACGCAAACTTGTAGTATTAACAGAGGATGGAACTGTATAGTTACACAAGCAAAACCTAGCTGCCTAATTTCCTTTTTTTCATTTCAAACACAAATGTAGAAGTGATATTGGTAGTGTGTGACAAGAGTACAAACAGTAGTATATTCATGGGGTGGAAATGTTAGTGATTTTCATATAGGATATTTTATTTTAGTACCTTAAAATGTTTGCCTCATGAGTTTCCATGCGCTAAAAATCTGACCTGTTGGTAAAAAACTGATCGTAACTAATTCTGTATCAAAAATGTTCTCTTTTTAAATATGCTTTTTATAAAGGATGGTAAATTATTCAAGAGTCTTAGAAGACACAGACAGGCCTGTATTTATTTATCCTTTATAGAGCCAGATCCTTAAGGTTCTATGGTTACGTGGGCTCATTGTTCTTTCTCTCTTTTTTTTTTTTAAAAAAGGACGTATCAAGTCATTCGAAGAGCCCTGAAGAATGCTTTTGCCAACTGTACTGTAATCCTCTCTGAACACAGGATCGAAGCAATGTTGGAGTGTCAGCGATTTTTGGTGAGTATTTTGTAATTTACTTATAATCTGATTTCCTTATTTAATTCCTGGTTGAAGAATTTTTAAGTTAAGGTTCTCAGGTGTGTCAAGGAGGCTATATTTAGAAAGTCTCTGCAAATATTCCCAGTGTAGAAGTTCCTTACAATTGTGTCATGTGAGGCCACTGAGGATTGCTCAATGGAGCTGCCCAACTTTCTGAGTTTGATCCAAGCCATGAGGTCATATTGGAATTAAGTGAATCTGAAATGGCAGCAGATTGCTTATTAATGTGTAGTATTTATGAGATTCTGCTTGGCGTCCAAGCTGTGAGACCATGTTTCGGGTAAAACTATCCTATTAAGAGGTCCTTCTGGTACTTATTCTAATTAAATCCTCTTGGACGACATCCAAAGCAGACTTATGTTGTGCTAAATTCTGTATTGTATTTGATCATATTTTAGTCAGCCTTTAGAGTTTTCTTGTTTATACACTTGAATACAGAGCACTCAGAATCAGGTAGTCTCTTTTTACATCTGATTTTGAAAGATTCAGCAGCTTCTATTCCTTGTGGATAGCTCTGTTTGGTACTCTTCCCCACCCTCCTTTTAGTGGCAAAATATCCTGCAGTTTGGTTTTTTTTTTTTAAATGATGATTGGAAGCTCCCCTACGCTTAATCACAAGGAAATTGTAAGGATGTATCACATTATTTCTGTCAAGCCTTTGCACATCCCTGAGCAAGGACAAACATTTCCATGTTTAAGGAGCTTCTTTTTTTTTTTTTATTATCCACTAAGTAATGAATCTGGAGATGGGCTCCTGGTCTTGCTGATGGCTTAATTTTGTGAATGAAACTGAGCTGTAGTTTGCCCATAGAGGTGTATGAGGTGTTCAAGGAGGACAAGCAGCTCCCATGTGAGGGCCTGCTGGGCCCTTTTTAGGGCTGCTTATGTAGCTTTGGTGTCTACCTGGTACTCAACTCTCACTTGTGGCTCCAAGGAGCTGTGGCATTCACAGTGGCCACACGCTGGTAAACTGTTTTGGCAGACAGGCTAAACCAGGTTGAGGAAAACCAATGGGCCTCAAACCCATCAGTGAGTTGGGGTGGGGGGGGGTCCTGCCTCAAGCATGTGACGACTTCTCCCTGTGGAATGGGCGGATAAGAACAATTTGTTCCATGGCCGTGAAGGAGACTGAAGACTTTTGTCTTGCCACTAGACTTTGATGATTCTGGAAGAGAAAGTGAGGCAGTAGACTTTTATGTAGCTCTGACTCACTTAAATCCAATTTGCACATGAATCAAGACATTACCCTATGATGTCATTGATCCTATTCAAAAATGAAGGACAAACAACAATAGTTTGCCCATCTGTAATATGCCATTCTTGGGCAGGGAAGGGACTGGAGGGAGGGAGAGAATTCAGAACTCAATTTTAAAAACTGAATTCTATAAATAAATAGAAAGTGGAAAAAAAAGAAGCTATGGTACCCAATAGACACATATAACTTATTAATAACTATTTGTGGTTATTTAAGAATGAAATAAAAATATTTTTATTTGTAATATGCCATTCAGTCAACAAGAATGTCATGCTAACTTCATACCCAATACTGAATAGGCTGCTGGTTTTGCTATATACTAAACATGCAGATTTCTAAGATGATGGATCCTAGGACTGTTGATTTAAAGCTAGATCAGAGTTCATTTCATCCAAGTTGTTCACTTTACAGATGTGGAAACTAAGACCCAAAGGTTAAGCGACTTGCCCAAGGTCACAAAGATTGTAAATGACAGAGACAGGATTTGAACTCAACTTCCTTGATTTCAAATACAGCAGTCTTTCTATTGCACTATGAAATGAATCAAATTTCTACCATGGAAACTGGTAAAGGAATTTGGCATTCTTTCTTAGAAGGTGCTAGAGCAGGGGGTCAGTGGTCAGTATTTTACCTGTCAGAGTTGATTCTTGCTTCTTACTGACAACATCGCGTTATAGCTAATTTTGTTTGTTTATTTTGATTGTGGTAACCCTCTGCTGTTTGAAAAAACTGCCATGCTGCTATATGTAAGGACTATGGTATAACACAGGCAACTCCAGGGCCTCTGTAGAGCTTGAGTAGCCAGACTGAGTAAATGAGGTAACACTGATGATGACCTCCTTTTTGTAAAGGGGCCTTGGGTGCTTTATCTCTTCCCAAGATAACTTATGGTAAGTTCTCACTCTACTTTCTTCCTTGTCTGCTTGTTAGGTCTGGTACCTTAGCTTATGTTCTCTCTGAGGGGCTAACTGGTCCACATTTCACTAGGTCATAGAAGAGAACAAAGTGCGGCAGTATGAATCGATCCAAAAGCTGGTGACTGAGAAGAGTCTCTACAGGCAGGCCATCAGTCACTCAGACAGGATGAAGCTCTTCCCCCACCGGAACTCAAGCAGGCACAAGTCCCGAGCCACAATCACTGCCCTGAAGGAAGAAACAGAAGAGGAGGTACAAGAAACCAGGCTCTAGATATTTACCAATGCAAATTCTTGCCAGGCTCACCTCACTCTTTGAATTTTGTGCCTGGGAAAACTGTCATGAATAATGTTCCAAATTGAGAAAAATGAAAGAAGGCTCCTCATGAAACACTGTGTGTGATTTTTGTGTGTGTGTGTGTGTGTGTGTGTGTGCGCGCCACACATAACTGTGCATGCCTAGGGATGTGCCTTCTTGGCAAAGTGAAGCAATGTAAAAGGCCTTGAAGATCCTTGAAGAGTTACCCCCCCCTTTTTTTTAAGCAACCCAGATTACCCTGAGACACCTCTTCGTATTTACTGATTGTATATGTGGTGACCGTGAGCCAGAGCTTTCCAAGAACAGTTTATTTGCCTTATAAAATCTGGTGGGAAGAATGAAGCTGTTAAGTCTCACCATAGGGGTGATGCATTTAGGCTCATATACCTCCATTTCCCCCTTTTCTTCAGTATCATAAGAAACAGATTGATCATTCTGACCCAATGATCATTCTGACTTTTCAAGAATTCGCTGTGATAGAGATGGCCAAAGATATCACCATAGTGCAATAAATCATAGCATGTAGGAATTAGTGAAGGAAGTGAGATCTGGTTGTCCAGATGTCAGGGTCAAGAATGATTCAAATATAGGAAAATCCAAGTCCACTAATCTAGATAGTCTGGACCCTTCTCTCTGCATGGAGATAGGGGTTGGAAAGGTCCTATATAATAGAGAAACATTATGCTATGTAAACTGACACACCAGGACTTCTTCAGTATGCTAGTAGTGTAAAGGTGGAAGGTATGGAAAGCTGCCCTTGTGTAAGCCTGCCTAGTACTATAGTCCAGGTAAACCAGTGATCTGGGTGGAGGCATGATAAACACAATAGGAGACATTGCAGGAAAACATGAATTCCAGAGTGTTGTGTGGCAATGTCTGTAGCGTCATAGTATATACACAAAGTGAGAGATAGGACAGAAAACACATTGAAGTAGAATTAATAACGAATCAGTTTTATATTCTTCCAATTGCAATTTTAGGATGTAAAGGAGTTTTTCCTCTAGAAAATATTATTTATTTTAATACTGTGTCTTCATATAAAGAAAATTATGTATTTTGAGAATGATCATTCTGCACAAATAGAAATATATTTGTATAAAAAGATTTTTATATCAGAAATATATATATATATATACTTTTGTGACACTACTTATTTTTATTCTATACTTTATTAAAACTGGAAAAAAATTGCCAGACCCTGGGGGGGGTATAACAAAGGGGCATTAACTACCTTTTCAGATGTGTAGGAAAGCATCGTGCTTATACAGATGTTGCACCTATTTGTTTTATTTGAAATATCTGACCGAAAGGGTCATCTCAACCAACTACCTTTCAATATAGTCCCATAGAAGACTATTATAAAGTTTGAACGTTTTTCTTAGTGTATACTGTTTTCTGGAATCCAAGTAGGCCTTGAAGATTGCATTTTATTTATTGTCAAGAAAGAGTATATCATGTGTGTCAATAAAATTCATATATTTGTGTATAAATCAGCTGCCTTTCAGATGCATTTATTAATTTTATACCTTCTGAGTGCTGGCATTCTTACAAATGTATGGGTTAACTCTTAGCTCTGAGAATGAATCATTAATTGAAACCACTTTGAGACTTTTTGTGCCTCCTAGTCTCCCTTCATTACCTAGCACATTTGTGAGGATGAAGAATGAATTTGAATCCTCCTGTTCGACATAAACTCTATGAAAATCCTAGATGGACCATGGTCACTTCACAAGCTAACTTCTATGTTTTTTCTTTGAGGTTCGTGGAATAGTTTTGAGGAAGTGAGTGGCTATTGTAATCATCTATTTCTTCACTTCAAAAGCCCTTTCAAATTTCCTTATTACTCTTGAAAGCCCCTGTATCAAACCCAGGTTTGGATCTTTCCTATTCGGGTGACATCTCAGTTTCCTGGCTTCCCTGCCCTCTTTCAAGTCTGGCTAAAATCCCACCTTCTGCAGGAAGTCTTTCCCAGTTCCTCTTAGTTCTGGTGCCTTTCCTCTGTTCATTATTTTCTGTTTATCTTGTGTATAGCTTGTATGTACATAGTTGTTTACACATTTATCTCCCCATTTCATTGTAAGTTCCTAGAGGAAAGGGATTGTTTCATTGTTCCCCCAACAAAGTAGTTGCTTAGTAAATACTTATCGACTGGCTGACTGGGAGGTAATACCTAGTAATATGTGTCTGTTGGTTTTATGGGGTTTCAGTTGTGTTTTCTGATAGAAAAAGCAGTTTCTCTTTTAGAATAAATGTGTAACTCTTTCAAGGACCAGGTACATGTGGATATGTAAGAACTGATTAGTCTACATTCCTTCTGTCCTTTCCATAAACTCATGGGAAGTAAGTGGTTTTGTTGGGTATTATACATCTAGATAGCCTCACACATATTCCTCAGAGGACACTCTAGGAGCATATTGTCTCTGTTTCGTTCCATTTTAAAAAAAATAAGCTAAAAGAAAATTCACAAAGGCCACATGAATCAAGAGCAGAGTGAATGGGACAATGAAAATTCAAACTCAGGAAGACCATTCTTATAACAGTAAAACCTGAAAGCACAACAAAAAAAAAAAGTAAAAGATTTGTGTTTGTTTCTATCTCTCTTGACTTTGTCATCTGTTTTCTACTTTTCTTCTCTCACATTGACTCATCACTTCTTGAAATTGGAGAGACCTTCAAGATCTAATCCCTACCTTTAGATTTGGTTCCTTTTTTATATACCCGCCTCTTGTTATTTACATTTCTGTCATCACTTTCCAAATTTTCTCTGGCCAATTTTCTGTTCTGCCTTTCTTGCCTTTGTGGTCTGACCTTTTTATTAATCACTCTCCCTCCTGTCCTAGCTGTTCACATCCTTAATTGACTTAACTTTTCTTCACTTCCTCTTCCCTAGGCCCTTAACTTTTTTTCTTTCTCAGGATGAGAGAAACACAAAACAAAACAATACCTGCCAGTAACTTACTGCCTCCCAGGGTTGGGAAATGGCAGTTTGTCAGAAAAAGGCTAATAAAACCCCCAAAGTAAATACTGTAGGAGTAGGCCAAAGTAAGAATCTCAAATGCTATTTAGAACACAATTTAGAGTTCTATTTAAAGAGCTCAATATCCAAACCTGTTTAACCTGTAAAAACAGGTGTAGGCTATCCCATTTCCCTATTAAAAGACAGAGGTAAAAACCTATAAAGGGAAGACAAATATATTAGGGCATGAGAACTCCAAATCAATAGAGTTTAAAAAATATGATCAGTCCAGAGTCCAAGGTTGCATTCTCTCCAAGTAGCATTCAAGCCTCTTCCTAGTAGCCTTCCCCTCTTGAGAAAGGGAATTTTCCTGGTCTATTTGTTGGAGGTAGTTCAGATTTGCTGCATATTTGGAAAAACAGAGAGGCAACATGGTGTAGTGGATAGAGATACTGCCTGGGAGCCAACCTGGCTTGGGATCCCAAGTTCAAATCCTATCTCTGACATATATTAGCTGGTAAGCATAGGCAAGTTATCCCACCTTTCAACTCTTCCCCTTCTTCATTGGTGTGGAGCTGTCCATCTGCATGGTTGTGGACCTGGAATTTCTGATACCTACATGATCACTATTGATATCAACATGGAATTTCTGATACTGCCCACCTTCCCTATGAAAACAAACAAAAGAATAGATTCAACAGATTAGAAATATAAAACTGTGTGCACTGAAATCAGACCATTGCAGCATGATACTAAGAAAGCTTGGACACAAAGTTGACAAATTTAATCAGATTATCCTGAAGTATATCTTCCTCTTCCATACCAATCAAGAGGAATGCTAACTTTTCTTTTTATGCCAATGAAATATGGCATAATGGCTAAAGAGCTGGCCTTGGAGTCAAAAAGACCTAGTTCTGAGTCTTATCTCTGACACATACTGGCTATATGAACCTGGAATAGTCACTTAATCTCTCAGTTCTCATAGCAACTCATTAAGACAATAAGTCGCTGAGGTGCCTACTTATATTAGTAATGGCAATTTCCTCATCCAGAAGTTCCCTATGTCAATAATATCATAGGTCCAGTTCCCATTGCACATTCATCTGTCAGTGATCAGGAATCAACTGCAGGACTGGAAGAATCCACTGCTGGGATTAGAGGGACCAGCTCAGACATCGAATGTATACATTTGGATGGAGCAGATGGACCTAGCTTTGGGAGATAAAAGAAGTGTGGCATCCTAACATTGTATAACATACAATAAAAGAAACTGAGGCAGGGCTCTAAGACAATGGCACTTTGTTAAAAGGTCCATGGCCCCCTCTAATGAAGTGAACCTCAGATCTTCCTCATGATCTGAGATGCCCCCTTCCATCAGGGCCTTCGTTTTATAGTCCTTAGTATCCAGACAATACAGATAAAGCAAACTAAACTTCAGAATCTCATTGATAGACCTTGCCCTTGACCCTCGACTCTCCAGGAGGGTCTACAGTGCAGAATCACATTGGTTGACAAGTGGGCTAACGAACAGACTTTGACAGACCTATCTTGACCTTTTAGGAGTTCCTACCAAGAAGAGAGTAGTGAGCAGACCCATGGTCTGGGCTGATAAATAGATGTCAAAACAAGTGCTGATGGGCCAGTAGACAGGCAGGCCACAGGCTGGCAAAGTGGACCACTTGTTGGTCAAGTGCTCATGGTCATCTCCCCATGTTGGGCAATAGAGGGATGACAAGGGATGGAGAGGCAACAAACATAGTTGGGGGACTTCACCTCTACCATGCTGGGCTTGGTCACCATAACAAGGAAAAACAAAGGTGGAAGTCTTCTAGTTAGCTTCCTATGATTAAGCAAGTGAACTTACAATCTACAATTCACAGTTCTGGGGCCTTATATACAGAACTTATCACCACTACCCCTATGCAATCTTATCAAACTGATTAATACTGATTGGAATAAAATAGGGGTCCAATAAAATAGGAGTGTAATCATCTGTCACAGAGGGGAGGACATTCCAAGACTATTTCAAATAAATGGATTACAGTATAATTTTTTTTTGCCTTTTTTAAGCCAATTGGGGTTAAGTGACTTGCTCAAGGTCATGTAGCTAGTAAGTGTCAAATTTGAACTTGGGTCCTCCTGACTT